GCAGTCTGGCCTGCTCTGGGCCTGTTGGACACACCCAAGGTGCCTTCAGGTTCCTGTGACCTTCTTCCATCTCTACTCCTCTTGGGGAGATAAAGTTGTGTGGACAGACGCCCTCTGCTGGTGGCCCTCACCAGTGCTTGGCATCCTCTTGTTCCCAGCAACCAGACAGAGGTATGGAATGGCTGGTATTGACCAATGAATGATAACAGTAAACATTTGGGTAATTGTAGACATGAGTGTCTTCCACAGCAGTTATATATACTATTAGTTAATGTAGTTAACTTGTTGATTAATTTCCTAATGGGAATCATTCTTGTTTTCTTGTTTTCTTTTGTCATCATCCTGGTATATTTTTTTTCTTTTTTTTTTTTTTTTTTGAAACAGAGTCTCATATGTCCTCGATAGAGTGCTGTGGCATCACAGCTCACAGCAACCTTAAACTCTTGGGCTTAAGTGATTCTCTTGCTTGAGCCTCCCAAGTAGCTGGGACTGCAGGTGCCTGGCTATTTTTTGTTGTAGTTGTCTTTGTTGTTTAGCTGGCCTGGGCCAGTTTCAAACTCACCTGCCTCGGTGTATGTGGCTGGTGCTATAAGCACTGTGCTATGGGCACCGACCCTATTTTTCTTCTTTTTTAAAAATTATTTTAGTATATTATTAGCTGTTACTTCATCAGTGATACTTATTACACTTAAACATAATTTCCTTTTTGTCCTAATATTTTGATATCAGATATAGGTAACCTCCATAAAATGATTTGAAAGTTTTCTCCATTTTTAAAATGTGTGTCTTAGCATATTTGTGTAAAGTAGGACTTAATCTTTGCAGATTCATATAAGCTCACTCTAAAGCTGTTGGCTCCTAGCTTACTGTTTAGTGGAAGTTCTCTACAACAGTTTTGTGAATATTTATTTGTTCAGGTTTCCTACCTCTTCTTAATTTCTCTTTGGCCACATTGTTTTTTTTTTTTTTAACTAGAAAGCCATCTAACTTATATAGATCCCCAAACTTACTGACATAGCTATTCGTAGCACACTGTTATAATTTACAATCTTATTAAGATTTAAATAATTATTACCTATTCTGTTTCCTTTTTCTTCTTTCTATATTGGTTAGGCTTTCTAAGTTTTAGTTTATCTAATTTTTCACATTATTTGCTACTGTTTTATCATTATTT